TATGGTATTATCTATGGAAGCATAAGATATATATTTAAGGTGAAGACATGATTAAAGGTGTGTTGCTGCTTGTGTGCTTCAATTTCATCAGACTTTAGCTTCTGAACAGTAGCCTGTAATAGTTTGGATGATTATAACTTTGGGCTTAAATTTATATAATTGATGATGAAGAAGGTGTTGGATTGGGGGAGAACAAATAAAAAGGATTAGGGAAGACTTTTGTTGCCTCTTTTTGGATACCCAGTAGCTTTTGCTTCTTGTTGAGACTTGGGATGATTCCTTCATTCATTTATTCATTCATTTGTTCAACCAGTATTTACTGACAATCTTCAAAATACAAAGTGAGGGGAATACACAGATGAGTGAAGACATGGATCTGGCATATGAGAGAAGAACATGCAGTCTGGTACAAGAGAGGCACTCCCTGCATGAAAAGCAGAAAATACAATGTTCCATGAGAGGGAGAGGAAAAGAGCTATGGGAGTTCAGAGGAAGGAAATGATCTTTTCCATTTATGCTGATGCAGCATAGGTTTGAAGAGGAGATGATGTTGAAATGGGCCTTGAGGGGAAATAGTTTGGACCTGATTGGGAAAAGACATGCCAAGCAGAGGAAACCCCATGAGTAAAGACATGCATGACAGATCAAAAAATTTAGTTTGGCTTCAGAACAGGCTATTTAATGGAACGTTATTAATGTGACACTGATTCATTTAGACTATGTTATAGGCCAGGGTAGGTAAACTGGTTCAGCTCACTGCCTGGTTTGTATTATATAGTTTTATTGGGACACAGCCATGCCCATTTATTTATGTAATGCCTATGGCTGCTTATGCATCACGACAACAGAGTCGAGTCATTGTGACAGAGACCATATGGCCCTCAAAGCCATAAAAAGCCTTTCTGTAAAAGGCTAGATAGTAAGTATTTGCTAACTCCTGCTTTTGACCATAGTTGAGAACCATTGATCTGGTCTGGGGATGGGCAAAAAATGCTTTTCAGGAAGTGTCAGTCTTCATTAGATGTGGCGAGGGGATGGGTAATATGGAGACTTGTAGAGTTTTTGAATTAATCTAGTCCACTGTATTCTAGTGGGAATGGGGATTAATTGAATGCTAAATAGATTCAATATATGGAATCAACAAGATTTGGCAAAAAATTTTATGAGCGAAGGCCACGGAAAGGTAGGAGGTAAGGGTGGATGTAAGATTTTCAGTTTGGGTGACTGTGTGGCTGATGGTGCCCCAGAAACGGGGAACACAGAGGACAAACGGTTGTAAATGTTTCATTTATGTGTTAGGAGACAGAACACTGACAAACATGACTGAGGACTTGATATGACCACATAAGGTGAAACCTTATGGTTTTGGCAGGACCCAGGAAAATGTACCACAGTAAACCGTGGAACGTTTTATTTTCATATTTAAATGGACTGAATTCCTATGAGAGTTATTTTTATGAACTTTTTGCATTTAAAAACAAACAAAACTTGACTATTTGGGGTTTTGTGGCTGAAGTAATTTTAAGTAGAAATACTTTTCCCTTTGAAAAGTTTTAAGTCAGTTCAAAGAAATTTTCTAAAGTACTTACTTGTAAACACAGAAGTAACAGTGCCACTAATAAAATGGGAATGTTTCAGCTACCTTATGTTTTTTAAGAAATCAAATTCTCATTTGAATTATGTGAAGATAACCTTTGCCTTCACAGTTTGCTTTGAAATAATTGCTTTCTTTTATAAAGGTAATGCATGCTTATAAAATACTTAATTATAAAAGTAAAAGTTGCCACAACTCCTCTTTTTTAAGCTATTGACTTCTGTGAACAGTTTGAGGGACGCTATGCAGCTATTGCATCCTTCGCTAGGGTTACAATGACTGAAGACATTTACTTTCCAAATGGGCATTCATAACTTTGAACACATGATGCTACCTGCAAAATTTCCGAATCCAATGGCCCAAGTCTCCAATCATACGATTCTGACATAGTAAGTGCTTTTCCGTCTCCAGACAAGGCACTGGGGTCACCTCTGCAACTTGTCTGGTCGTCCACACTCAGAAGGCGTGGTTTGTTTGCCCTGCTTCTCACAGCCATTTACCCATAAAATTGGTCTTATTCCCTAATCTTCAGTATTAAAAAAAATTATATCAACAACTGGTAGTCCCAAGGAAAATATCCTTGTTAGAAAAGATAGGATTATCTTAGGAGACTGACTTTGAAAGTGATCATACTGAGGAAATCAGCTGCACTTATTTATAAGAAAAACAGAAACTTGATCTATTTATGTAAATATTTTGTGAAGTCAGATTAATTCAGTTTTTTAAATATAAACAAGCAGGGAAAAAGTTGGTTTTAGTCAGAACAAATTTATTCTGATTTAAAATTTATCTTAGAACATGTATACTGGCTAAAAATAAAATTATTTTAAACTACAGATTGGTGTAAACTTAGAGACTTTTCCTTCTGCCTCTCCCTTATTTAGTCTCATTCTTTTAATAATAATATTAATTTTTGTTACATTTATTGGTTTAATATACCATGTATTGTTATTTTTATTTTTGTTTACAATAACTTGATGAAATATAGATGCTACTTTCTCCCCCACTTTACACATAAAGAAACTGAAGCATAAACACTTTAAGTAACTAACTTGTCTAAGGTTACTTAGATGGCAAGTGGCAGAGCTGGGGTTAGAAACCCAACTGGCAGACTTCACGTGGTATGCCCTGAGTCACTTTATGATTATGTTATTAATAATACTAGTAGTTTCTTGCCTATTGACCCTGGAATGAAGAAAAAACTATGTACCAAAACATATATGTTTTAAGTTTGAATTATTATTTTTCTTTAACTGAAATGAAAATATATGATAGCATTTAAGTCCTCTAGGACAATTGAAAATGAAATTTAATTTAAAATGAACAGAAATAGTCCATCTCGGAGCTGGCCGAGCGTGCGGCACGTTGGTTAGGAGTTGGCTTGGGACGCCAGCTCTGAACATCAGGGCCCTGGTTCGGATCCCACATGAGGGCCAGTGACACTGCCCTCTACAGCTAAGATGCTGAACAACAGCTCAACCTGGAGCTGGGCTGCTGTGAGTCACTGCGTAGGCTTCAGTGGGGCTGTAGTGGGCTGCTGTGAGCTACTGTGAGTGGCTGGCAGCCAGTGTGAGCGGCCGTGAGCCTCCGTCCAATGGCAGGCAAGTGACTGACTCACCTGGGAAGAGTGCAATGATTATACCAACATGGGCCAGTGAAGCGATGTCCTCCACAACCAGACTGAAGAACAAAAGGACAGTAACTTGTCTGTTCCCCTCCCCCAATTCCCCAATAAAATCTTAAAAAAAAAGAGTCCATCTCTCTGATCCCAACACTATTTTTTGCGATTTAAGAAAAATTAGGTAGGCATAATTACTAAATTTAGTTGCACATTAACAACATTTTAATCTTCATTTGTTTGTTTTTTTTCTCAAGATTCAGATGTAGACTATATGGTGAGGGTACATATGTCAAGTATGTTTTACTTGTAAGGTCTGTTTGACCATGAAGGAGAAAGGGAGAGAGAGAAGAAGCAGAGGGCAGGCGAAAGCACAGGACCTGGAGATAATAGACTGTCTGTCCACTCACATTTCATTGGCTAGACTTGGTCATGTGGCCACATCTAGCTTCAGGGTAATCTAGCAGGGTGGCCACGTGCCCAGTAAACACGGGAGATCCTGTTATGAAAATAAAGGCATGGGAATGTATATGGAGGGGTCAGTTAGCATCTCTGCCACAAGTATAAACTTAACGCTGTTCTTGCTAAAGTAATTAAACCATTTCATTTGGTTCCTGCTTTTATAAAGATGAGCAATAGTATATTTTATTTTGAAAAAATAATTCATCTAGAGAAAGTTAGTAAATGTCACCTGATGCAGTACTACTATCCCAGCATAGGTAACCAGCCCCTCAAGAACAAGTCTGGCTGAGAAAGTCAGGTGGCGTGGCCTCCTTCCTCTTCCATTCAGACACTGCACCAGTGCATCTGAACTTCTGACTGAAGGAAGACCTGGTGCTGAATTCAGGAGCATTGGTGTGCTCTTACTGTTTCTTACCTGGGATGCTAAATCATTAAATTATTGTCTTTGGAAACCTTTGGTTTTAAAGTGCTCTGATTTAAAAAAAATATATAAAAGAATCTGTGGTTGTAGCAAGAATAGAGAACATACTGCAGCATGGAAATATGAGGTTGTCGGAAAAACCATGACACATTTTTGCAATGAGAAACAGAAAAATACATCATGACTTTTCCGAAAACCCAATATATTAGGTAGTGGATTTCATATTTCATATTTCGTTAAGTCATTGTGGTTGTGTGCATAGACAGACTATGAGGAATAAAGTTTCCAGAAAAAGTTTCTAAAGTGAAACTATAGACATTAAATCATGGTGTCAATTTTTACACTTTTTTCCCCCAAGTTTATTGAGCTTTAAAAAGATGTGCTTATCTGTACACTTTATTTTAGGATTTCAGGCTAAATAGTGATTAAAACATAAATTTAATATATAAATATTGATGACATTTAGTAGTTGGATGTTTTTTCAAGATAAGGAAATTTTCAGAAATAATGGATGGGTAAAAATTAAACATTAGGCAGGTACAGTGGTAGTTTCTGTTAGTGTTTGTGTCTATATTAAGTTAGATAGCAAGTTATTGACTTTTTAACATTTAACACTTTTAGAATTTTGATTTTGAAGAATAAGTGATTATTGAAAAAATAATTAAGATTAATACTAAAAAAAGCTGTCTTTTATATTCACCTTATTTGTCAATGTAACGCAAACACCAGTAATTTAATACAATCCATATAATTTGAGGGAAAATTGTTTGGTGTATTCTTTGGATAATTGGTATTAACCTTGTGTTGGACTCTAAATTCTGACTTTTATTAGAAAGTGTATCTTGGTTTCTGTGCCAAAGTTCTGAGAAGTGTATTTTAAAACATTTTTTCCCCTCACTAAACAGCTTTGATGTCATATTTGCTGGTGGTCCAGAAGAAGTTTTAAAAAAGTTCCAAAAGTCAAACCACAAAGTGGTCTTTGCAGCAGATGGGATCCTGTGGCCAGATAAGAGACTAGCAGACAAGTATCCCGTTGTGCACATTGGGAAACGCTACCTGAATTCAGGAGGTAAGATCCTGGCAGAATGCGTAATGTGTAAGTCATACTCGATTATAAATACTGATGAAACAACCTTTTTTCTTGGGAATATGTAACTATAGAAATGAAGTTTTAAACATTATCTTATTACTATAGAAAAGTTACATCGGTTTAAAACACACAGTGCATTTTATTGTTGACAAAGCCTTTTCCCATACATTGTATCATATGACTCTCCTAAGACAGTGTGTTATTATTTCCGAATTACAAGTGAGAAAACCCATGTTCCTCTAATTTAAGTGACTTTTCCTAAAGACTTTTAGTTGTTAAAGAAAGAACAATGTGGATCTGGGTCATCTGATTATAGTGTCACTGAGAATTTTCTGGATATAGGACACTGCATTTAGTAAATTCTCTTAGTTAGGAAACAGTGCAAGCTACAATCACATAGCTTTAAAAAATAGGCATTACTTAATTTTAGCTGTATTTTAAATATGTTGGAGTAAATGAGTGATTTGTATTGAAATCACTACTCAAAAAGAGTCAACATTTAGTGTCTGGGTATACTTAAGATGCTGCATTAGCTATGCCACCATGAATTAAAGGAACAAATTACCATATTTCCCACCCCCCTTCAAAAAATAAAATAAAATTTGACTTTGTACCTTATGACTCCAAAATGTTTTCCTTAGACTGCGATTAATGTAATCCTATGACCAGAAGATATAACCAAATAGGATGGGGGGGGCATGTTAGAGCAAATTGGTTCTTTGTCAACTTCGAAATTGCAAGCCACATTGGGAGAACAGATTTTTGGGGGTGATTTACATATCTATATCTATCTATCTCTAACTCTGTCTCTATCTCTATAACTGATGCTATTCAGGCTAGTTCAAATAAGTGCTGCTTGAGATAGCAGCAGTTCTGAATTCCAGGCTTTGCTAGGTCACTTATGGAAATGAAACCTTTGGCAAGTAATTTACTTTCTCCGAGATGCCTCAATTCTAGCTCTATTCATCTATACTTTTTTTTCCAGTAACCCATTCTTAAAATTGTACCTTGGGACATTTTCAGCCCATATAAATACTACATTTCTAAAACTTGAAACTGCAGTTTGTTCTGTCTAGTCTCGGCTCACTTTTTCTCTCCATCTCAATACAACTATGGTTCATGGTTTTTGGGATCTCTTGACCATTTTATTTTCTCCGAATCTATCAAGAACCTTTAGATTTTATTTTGTATGTAAGTCAGAACCTAGTGTTTGTCCTATCGGTCACTCTGTCCTCATTGTCTTAGCAGTCTTTCTCTTTTAGATTTCCAGCTCATGCACTGACAGAGCCTCTCCGGAAGAGGAGTTCCCACTTTTTAAAATTTCCCTGTCTGACCTCTTGAATTTTGTAAATTGGTGCTGCTTCTACCTCAAACCGGCCAGTCCTCAGTATGGTTGCCTTTTAACTTTCCTAAGTTCTAGACAGTTTAAAAACCATTTAGCTATGGAACTCTGGGATGCCTTATTTTATATTTATTAGTTTTTCCAAACAACATGCATAGGGAAATATCATATGTAAATTCATCTAGAAAGTGATATATCTACTCAGGAATTTAATTACAGATAGATGCACAGTACTGTGAAAACAGCAAAAGACTGCCAAATGAGAACCTTTGGAAGCAAGTTTGGAGAAAAGGTGCTTTTCAGTGGGAAAGAGATCACACATGGAAATCAAAACATAATACTTATGCTTTCTGTTGTCATAATAATTAAAGAGATAGTAGAAAATCTAAATACATCAATACAAGTTTATGTAATTTCATGAATGATGTATTTAAAGTTATTTAAGGGACTTGAGTTTCATTTCTAGGTATAGCATGTCATTTAAAAAAATATCGTGGAGAGAGCATATTTCCTTTTGAGGAAAATTTCAGAATATTAGAAATTTTATTAGTTTGAAATAATATAGCAGTTTAATAGAAAATATAAATCATATATATATCACATACTATGAAAATAGATGTACAGTTGACCTTTGAACAATGCAGGGTTAAGGACACTGGNCCTAGTCAAAAATTCGCACATAACTTTGAGTCCCCCAAAATTTCAATAGTCCCATGGTATCCGAGGGGAATTGTTTCCAGGACTCCCAGCAGATAGAAAAATCTGTGGATGCTCAATTCCCTCATATAAAATGGCTTAAAAGAATGTATACATGGTTGGCCCTACACATCCACAGAGTCCCAACCTTAGATGGAAAATACTATTTTTGATCTGTAACTGGCTGAATCCATGGATAGGAAACCCAGAAATATACAGGGCTTGACTGCATATTTATTGAAAAAAATCCACATCTAAGTAAAACCAAGTAGTTCAAACCCATGTTGTTCAAGGGTCAACTGTAATTCCTTGTAATTTTGTAAGGAACTTTGGGACTTTGAAAAAGGTAAGGAAACATAATTTTTGAATAACAGTAATTTAAACCATTGAAAATGTCATGGTCTGCTTGCATATATTTTTCATCACAGAAGATTAATCATAGGATTAAAAATTGTATTATTTTTCAGTGTTTTTGGATTTTTTTTATTTAGTAAAAATAACAAAAAAGAGCAGCCAGTGATGGGTTTAGCCGTTTTTATTTTGTTTTGTTTTCACTAGGTAAAAAATAATATTCCTGGAGATATTTCTTTTAATTCTTCAGAGGAAATTTTAATTTTGAGGGTAAAAAATTAGGTTTCCTTTCAATTCTCAGGAGTAAAATTGGTCCCTTTTAAAAAGTATTGTATGTCAATGAAACATCACAGCTTGGCAGCATTTCTGAAACTCTGAGGAATACTCAAACGAGGGAAAAGTGATCCTGTTGTCTGTCTTTTACAGACAACTGTTATTGGTAAGTTTAATGCTTATGCTCCAAGGCCAAGGGGAACAATCCAATTTTAGACTTCCTTTCTCCAGACTATGACACACACAACCTTGCCAGAGAAATGGTTTAGCAAGTACTGTAATGACTAGCTCAAGGAAAGAAAAAAATCCCCAAATGTCCTAGATACAAAATTTCTTTGGGATATTTGCAGTCAGTGACAATTCCAACATTCCTTTGATTGCGTTAGCATCTCTGGCACTGACATTAAAACCACTGTAGTAGAGATTTTCTGTTTTCAGAAACAGAGAATCCTCTATAAAGGATCCCAGAAGAGAATTTTAGAAGGTCAGACAGAAAACCTTCTGTCTTATTCTGTTCTTTTCCTAGCAACTCTTTTTTCCTGAGCCTTGGAAAACATTAGTTACCCCTCTTGTGATTAATTTTGGGACTGTGGTTATTCAAAAAGAGTCTGTGATTTGCAATTGGTAGTAAAACTCACTCTATTATAATTAATATATAGAACAAAGGACTCCCAATAACTCATATTCTCTCATGGTGAGCTGTGAAGTTCCAGATTAAGTTCCATTACACCTAATGGCTTTATAACTGTGCAAGAAATCAATGGAATTGACATAGATTGAGTTTTGGTTTTTGAATACTAAATTCTCTATTCTCTCTCTGTTGTATTGCAGGATTTATTGGTTATGCTCCATATGTCAACCGTATAGTTCAACAGTGGAATCTACAGGATAATGATGATGATCAGCTATTTTATACTAAAATTTACATTGATCCACTGAAGAGGGTATGTAATAGCTCCCATTTTCAATGTGACCTCCTTGTCCAAGATGGCTACTGGAGCTCCAGCCATTGCATCCACATTCTGGACAGTTAACAGGCAGAATAGCAAATAAGGGGCCAGCTCAGTTTTGTCAGCTGTCTTTCTCACAAAATTCTTTCTCATACTTTTCTTTGACCGGAATATATTTACCATATTTGCCGGCGTATAAGACGACTGGGCGTATAAGACGACCCCCTAACATTTCCACTCAAAATACAGAGTTTGTTATATACTCGCCGTATAAGAC